CAGCTGTGTAATTATAGTACCCACTGTATAGAGTTGTTGCAAAGATAAAATGAAATCTGTGTATGACACAGCACAGTACCTGAAACAATAATTCACTCAATTTGTTATAAACTGTTACTGCCTCAAAACGTTGTTGACAAAATTACTCATGCTGAAAGAATGAAATTTTATTGATGAGAAAAATGCCTTATTTTGTGATCTACATGGAGGCAGTCAATTTTACTTCCTCGGCAGTAGATGGTAATCTACTACTAGAAACTGCAAGGGGAAAAATGACCTGTCAACATGATTGAGGCAGTGTATGATTAGCTGGATCATAAAGCAGAGAGGACGCCATGCATTCTGGGATACATCTGCAGTAAGAGGCTTCACCTCAGGTATTAATTCTGATCATCTAAGCATCAGACCTAAGATGAATGGTGAGAAGGATTCTGAGGCTGCTTCTAGACTTAGCAGGAATAGAGCTTTAATACGTAAGCAATAGTTACTATGGTTAACAATGGCAAGAAAAAACACACCATCACCTAATCTAATAAAAGAGAAACATGCAAATCCCCCGAGGGCTCCTGGGTGGCCAGAGGGATGTCTGACTGCCGGGGAGCGGGCCTAAACCAGCAGGTGGTCATCCCCTGAGGGGTCCCAGACTGCGAAAGGGCACAGGCCGCGCTGAGGGACCCTCCCCGGGTGCACAAATTTTTGTGCACCGGGCCTCTAGTCTTATATAATAAAAGCCTAATTAATATGCTAAGTGTCTGACTGACCAGCCAGCCTTTCAACCAAAGTGTAATATACTAGTGATATGCTAAAGGCTATTCAACCGGTCCCTATGATGTGCACTAGGCACCAGGGGTCAGACACTCTGACTGGTAGGTTAATTTGCTGCTGGGTTCCGGCTGATTGGGACTGGGCGAGACGGGCCGGACACACCCTGGAGCCCTCCTGCAGTCCCTCCCTGGCTGGCCAATCTTCTGAGTCACTCCCTGGCTCCAACTGTTCACCAGTGGGATCCCTCGGCCTGGCCTACACCCTCTCACAATCCGGGACCCCTTGGGGGATATCGGAGAGCCAGTTTCGGCCTGATCCCGCAGGCCAAGCTGAAGGACCTCACTGGTACATGGATTCGTGCACCGGGCCTCTAGTAATTATGTATTTTTCAAAATGAGAACATCTCAAAGAGAAACAGAATTAAAATTGTCCCTCAAAGTCTTGCTATTAGAGAACTCAAGCCAGCTGATGTTAAAAATGTGCATGCCATCCATAATCAACTTTAACCATCATATTCCTTTACCCTCAAGGATCAGTCAGTCAAGTGGAACATTTATGCCCCTTTCTGCATTGTTCACCACTCTGTGGCTGTCCTCTTGTGACTTCTTTCCTCATCCTATGCTGACAACAGCATTCATTTTTTAAAAATATATATTTTCACTGAATACAGAGAGGAAGGGAGAGGGAGAAATAGAAACATCAATGATGAGAGAGAATCATTGATTGGCTGCCTCTTGCACGCCCCCTACTGGGGATTGAGTCCACAATCTGGGCATGTGCCCTTGACTGGACTCAAACCCGGGACCCTTCAGTCCATAGGCTAAAGCTCTATCCACTGAGCCAAACGGGCTAGGGCGACAATAGCATTCATTTTAACAAAGATGCTGGGACAATCTCAGCAGTCTCTCCCAAAACTCTGAACAAGAAGCATACATGCAGAGCTATTAATCCACTTGCTTATGAAACAGGAAATCCAGACAAGGTATTGGATGGAGAGCAAATGACTGAAGTATTTTTCTGACTCTGCTTTGCCATGGAGTATTATTTGTGACTCATTTAAACTTCAGATTTCTACTCACCAGTTGGCAGGCATGCTTAATCCTCTCCGCAATCCCATCAAGTCCCAAGTACTGTAAAGACAACCACAGTGGCAGGGCACGGAGTTTGTCCGCTGGTTTATTTGATGTGAGACCGGCAACTAAAGTCTAAAAAAGCCAATATGAGTTTTTAATCAAAGTCAATGAAAGCATATAACAGAATTAACTAGTTACCATTTACTAGGCACTTAGTATGTGTCAGATGCTACGCCAGGCACTTGGCATGTATTATTCATTTAATCATCCAACAACTCTATAAAGTAACTATTCTAGACAACTTAACTCAGAAACCTTGCTTTGCCCGAGGTTTCATGTCTAAGATGTGACAAAGCCAGGATGAGGATCTAAATGAGTCATATCCCAGAGCCGGGGCTCTTAGCCACTCAAGAGGCAACCCCTTCCAAGGTTGTTCTGATCATCCTCAAATACTTGGTCATTATCAATTGGGCAAGACATCAACTGCTGTAGCAAGAATCACTTAAAGCTTGTTTTGCATGAGCCTATCACTAACTGATCACTACCAGGACCATTCATCTACTTTGTTACAACCTTCTAGACAAGGTGGACTAAGCGCTTTCACCACTCCGAGAGGAATGCCACTTCTGGGAACCTATTCTAAGGAAATAATTTGAAACATAGAAAGATGCTCATTATTTCAGTAACAAAAATTTGAAAACATCCTAAAAGTTCACAATTGGAGAACGATTAAATAAATCATGGTATTGGTGTAATAGAATATGATGTAGTCATAAAACATCATGTGTTCTTCATATACACAGGGAAGTATGAGAAGAATAAGTAGAAAAAATACACGTGGTACAGTTTCACTTCTGTTAATAAGTTTTTTGAAAGTGAAAAATCACAGAAGTGCCCTAACTGGTTTGGCTCAGTGGATAGAGCGTCGGCCTGTGGCATCAAGGGTCCCAGGTTCGATTCCGGTCAGGCAGAAAACAGCCGAAACCGGTGTGGCTCAGTGGATAGAGCGTCGGCCTGCGGCCTGAAAGGTCCCAGGTTCGATTCTGGTCAGGGGCGTGTACCTAGGTTGCGGGCACATCCCCAGTAGGAGATGTGCAGGAGGTGGCTGATCGATGTTTCTCTCTCATCGATGTTTCTAACTCTCTATCCTTCTCCCTTCCTCTCTGTAAAAATCAATAAAATATATTTTTTTAAAAAAAATCACAGAAGTGACATTAAGGAACTTTTCACTATTTCCTTTGTTTTTCTGTGTTTTTGCCCCCAGAACTAGTAATGACTACCCTGCCAGTCAGAGTAAGCTTACCAAGGCAGGATCATCATGTTTATAAAGAGTGACTGCAGGAACCGCTGGCAGACCCAGCCACGGGCCTGGAGTCAATGTCATGCTATCACATTTGGTTGCAGCCTACCAAAGAGAGAACAGCTTTTTGTTAGACTATTAGAATACACGACACCCAACACCCTCCTCCATTCATAAAAACCACGAAAAGCCCCCAGGAATTAAAAGATTTAAAATTCCTTCTTTAAAATACAATATTTGGTAAATCAACAACATACCAGCACTGATGAGGAGACATAACCTAGAGCCAATGTTGCCAGATTCACACTGGAAGAAAAAAACACTAATCTAAGAAAGAATTATTTACTGCTGCCTATTCACTAAGTATGTATTTAAAAAAGAAAGAGAGAGAGAGACTCTGCTATCTTTCAGCTGTGTTATTAGCGTTTATAACAGCAACAGAAAATGTGGTACATGCAAATTTTAGGAATACCTTGAAAATGCATTTTAATAAAAATACAGCTCAGGGATATTTCCTACTTATTTGGTATGATGGGTCTTGTATTTCACAGCCATTATTTTCCGGTCATCTTTCCCAGAGGGATACAATAAAGAAGAAACCTACCATGCATGATGTGCTGGATATGGACTACTTTGGTTGCCCTGCATCCTCTCCCCGCTCTAAGCAGCACTCCAATGACTTTCTGGGAAATCACCCCAATCTCCTTTATTGGACCACAGCTTTGGGCAGAGGAGACACCACCACCAGCTCCAGAGGTGGGCAAATAACCTAAACTACATTTCCCTGGCTACAGCGATTGGTATGATATTTTTCCTGGGGCTTCTGACCCACTGGACACAAACTGGAAAAAAGGCTGGAGTTGCTGCAGCTACTTTGGACCATAACAGGAAAGTCTATCTATACATGGAGCCAACACAGAGGATATTAAACCAAGTGACTGATGGTGGTGTTGGTGGGGGAGGGGAGAATGACACACTGACTCCTGATTGATGTTGTGCCTGAAGCCAATTCCTAACACTGTTTGTTGTTAGTTATGTGAACCAATAATCTCTTCTCACTTAAGCCAGTTTGGGTTTTCTTGTTGTTGCAACCCGAAGAGGTCTTAGTGATAAATGTCATGACAAAGTGAGGGTGGGGATGTCCACTCCTCATGAGCACTGTGTGGAGACCACTCATGGAGCCAATCCCACCTTCCACTCACCCCTCCACATGAAGCCATATGCCATACTGCTCACAGAGTTCTTTCAAACGCCCAATCTTATCTGTGTGTCCTACCGCTGCAGTTCCTAGGATAAAGCACACACAAAAAGATACTAAAAGGAACAAATATTTTCTGAGTCTTTAAAGCATGATTAAAACTTTTATATACATTATCTCCCTGCGACTGAACTAACATTGTATCTCTTTTCTTAAGATTTGGCTCAGTGGCCCTAACCAGTATGGCTCAGTGGATAGAGTGTCAGCCTGCAGACTGAAGGGTCCCAGGTTCTATTCCAGTCAAGGGCATGTACCTTGATTGCAGGCACATCCCTGGTGGGGGGTGTGCAGGAGGCAGCTGATCGATGTTTCTCTCTCATCGATGTTTCTCTCTATCCCTTTCCCTTCCTCTATTAAAAAAACCCAAAAGATTTGGCTCAGTGGATAGTGTTAGCCTACAGACCTAAGGATCCAGGGTTCCGGTCAAAGGCACATGCTGGGGTTGTGGGCTCGATTCCCAGTAGGGGATCTCATCATTGATGTTTCTATCTATCCCTCTCCCTTCCTCTGTGAAATCAATAAAAATATTTATTTTTTAAAAAGATCACCTTTGTGGATTGGCTTAAAATCAACTTTTGCCAATTGATGATTCAAGTTTTGAAGAGTATGTATTCTTCATTATATGTATCTATAAAAAAGCTTATAAATTGTGTTATCTAAATCCCCTCTATACTTATTTTCTATGTACTTGATTTGTTGTTTCATGAGAAATATATTGAAGTCTCCTACCAAGATTGTGAGCTTGTCAATTTATACTTGTATTCTATCAATTTTTCCTTTAATCTGCCTTTATATAGTTCAAAGTTATGTTCATAAGCGTTCATAACTGTTATCTCTTAAATAATATGAATTACAATTAATATGAAGTCTATTTTATCTCACACTAACACTGCTTAAGTACTTTTTTTCTGTTAGCATTTGCCCCAGGGAGTCTGTTCTACCCTAACTTTTTAAAAAAATCTTTATTGTTCAGATTATTACAGATGTTCCTCTTTTTTCCCTCCATAGCTCCCCTTCACCCAGTTCCCACCCCACCTCAGGCCTTCACTTCTCCACTGTCCTCGTCCACAGGTGTAAGCTCTTTGTCCAATCTCTTCCCGCACCCCCCTCTACCCCTTCTTCCCGAAAACTGTCCTCCGCTCCCTTTCTCTGCCCCTGATTCTATTACATTCACCAGTTTGTTCCTGTTATCTCTTAAATAATATGAATTACAATTAATATGAAGTCTCATATTACTCATATAATCTCACACTAACACTGCTTAAGTACTTTTTTTCTGTTAGCATTTGCCCCAGGGAGTCTGTTCTACCCTAACTTTTTAAAAAAATCTTTATTGTTCAGATTATTACAGATGTTCCTCTTTTTTCCCCCCATAGCTCCCCTTCACCCAGTTCCCACCCCACCTCAGGCCTTCACTTCTCCACTATCCTCGTCCACAGGTGTAAGCTCTTTGTCCAATCTCTTCCCGCACCCCCCTCTACCCCTTCTTCCCGAAAACTGTCCTCCGCTCCCTTTCTCTGCCCCTGATTCTATTACATTCACCAGTTTGTTCTGTTCATCAGATTTTTTATTCTACCCTAACTTTTTGTCACTTTCTGGGTTATATTTAGGTGTATCTTTTTATGAAAAAAAATACATAGATGAATTTGAGATGTTTTCAACCCAATTTGGAGGTTCTTTGTTTTAATATAGAACATGTATTTTGAAGTCAGTTTGACCATATTACACACTTTATTTAACCCATCCCCTTGGTAATTTGTTTACACTATAGCAGATCCTTCTTCTCAGAGCATAAGTAAAATACAGAGTCAAGTACTCTCCCAACTATCTTAAATTTCCAGTTAGCAGAATCCCACCTAATAAGATTTCAAACCCTCACCAACTGCCTCAAGTGATGCAAGTGGTTCTTGTGCAGGGTTTATGCTAGGAAAAGGGCTGAAAACTGTTTTCC